AAAAGAGAATACAGTAGGCAAAAATCCTTAAGAGGGCATGAAAACTCAGTATGAGGAAAATCACATTCCTCGTAACTAGCACTCTGCTATTATTTATTATGTTTCATCTATAGTAGCAGCCATTGGCCCTCACTGACACTGCTCTTAAGGGTTGCAGAGCTTCTAATAGTCTTCAGGTTTAAAATTGTGCTATCTCCAACCCTGGGTAACTCAACAACAGATATAGCACACAATTCAGTTTATTATCACGTTTACTCTATTAATCAAGTATTTTTTAAACATTTTTAAAAAAATACTTAAATTTATCAAATTTTTAAAGATTATCAAATTTTTAAAGATTGGGGCTTAATTTTTGAAATCTATCTAATATTTTTCAAATTCTACATAAAAGCCATGGTAAGGTGAAAGATTTAATAAAATAGAGTCATCTTGTGCATTCTGAGAATTTTTCACTATGGTTAAATGTAACAGTTAATCAAATCAGTTAATCTTGGGTTTCTTACACAGGTCACATTCTAGGATCAACAAAATTTGACCCTGTGTGGTTTTTCAACTTCTACCCATTAGTGACATTGTTTAGTATTTATTAAAAAATAAAATATTTCTAGGCCACGTGCTGTTGCTCACGCCTGTAATCCTAGCACTGTGGGAGGCCAAGGTGGGAGGATTGTCTGAGATCAGGAGTTCGAGGCCAGCTTGGGCAACATGGTGAAACCCCGTCTCTACTAAAATACAAAAAATTAGACAGGCATGGTGGCGGGTGCCTGTAAGACCAGCTACTCAGGAGGGTGAGGCAGGAGAATTGCTTGAACCTGGGAGACAGAGGTTGCAATAAACAGAGATTACACTATTGCACTCTGGACTGGGCGACAGAACAAGATTCCGTATCAAATAAATAAATAAATACAATGAAATAAAATATTTGTTCATAAAAACAATCTGTGCATTGTCTACAAAGGCAAAAAAAATAGACATACAATTTTTCTCCATTTATTAATTAGGTTACCCAAATTACCTCATCAACATATATTTTTCTACTTTTAGAAATGTAGATTTTTCAGTAACTTGGGGCTGAAAATAAGTGTTCTCAGTCTATATTAAACCTCTTCATTCTTTTTTTCCTTCCAGGAATCATTGTGCCTTTTTAAAATTCCTTTATTTGTTCTTTTTCTCATTTTCAGTATTGAATAGGCATTTATCCCAGCAGAGTTTTATTACTAATTCAACCTCAAAACCAAATTTTCTAATCTGTGTTAGTCAAGATCCTTTTTGTCACAAGGGGCAGAATCTCAGTTGAAGTGAAGTTGCTTGCTGGTTTCCCTGCATAGAGTGTCAGGTTGAAGAGGGCAGGGACCATGGACCTCCTGTTGTTGAAGGTCAACATCAAGCTTTGTGCATGGCACATCATAGTTTCTAATATATATCTGTCTTTGTTGAAGTAAATGAACCCTGCTTTCTTTTATTCATTTAGCAAATATTTAGTATTCATGTATTAGGGGATGGAGAAGCAGTAAAGCACAAAGCAGATGAAAATTCCTGCCCTCAAAGAGTTTCAGATAGGGCATGATTTAAAACTTTTAAAATGTTATTAAATTTCTATCTCTAGAAACTTATATCCATAACTTTATTGCACACTGGCAATCATAAAGAAATGAACCAGATTAACAGTCCCCCAGAGGATGTTATATGACTAAATTTATTCTACTGATATTATAAATAGGACAACAACATTAACTTTGGATAATTCATTCATTCATTCATTTAACAAATATTTACTGAATCCCTACCAAGTACCAGCAAGATACAGCCTCTGCCATCTGGAAGCTTACAGCTTAGTGAGGGAGAAACATAGGAATTTAATTTCTTATGACTTCTATAAAAGTTACCACAAATATTATGGCTTAAAACAGTATGTATTTATTTTCTTACAGTCCTGGAGGTCAGAAGTCCAAAATGGGGTTCACAGGGCTGAAAGCAAGGTACAGGCAGAGCCATAACCTATCTATAGATGGAGGGGAAAATCGGTTCCCCCGCCTTTCCTAGCATCTAGAGTTTCTGTCATCACATCTTGTGGCTCATGATCCCTTCCTCAGTCTTGAAGTCCAACAATGCAGCATCTTCACATCTCCCTCTGCTCTGCTGCCACATTGCCTTCCTCTCTGTCAGATCTAATTCTGCTTCCCTCTTATAATCTCCATAGTCCAGGACCATTAATCTCCCCATCTCAAGATCCTTAAGTTATTCACATCTGCATAATCCACTTTACCATACCAGGTAGGACTCACAGGTTCCAGGTATTAGGACCAAGGTATGTTTGGGGGCCATTATTTAGCCTGTCATGCGTACCAATGAAACAGTTAAAAAGTATATAATTAGTAACTGTATTTCCTAATTAAATGGGCCTTGGTTTTCTTCTAATACTTTAAAAAATACTAAAGTAGAACAATCAAACTTTTAATTACACAAAACTTCAAAATTGTCCCAGAATCAATCATGTATGTCTGTATGGATCAAGTTTCATTGTAAAGGCCTATAAGGCCAATGTCTATAGTAAAAGTGCTAAATATTACTAGTAAAAGTGCTAGTTAATATTTAGAAAATGGGAGGAGAGGTTGTTGAAAAATGTTAAGTTTTAATTTAGAGTTTAGGGAGATTTAAAGTATCAATCTCTTAGAAAAATTATAATAATTAAAATAGCAAGAAAGAAGCAAGTAATTGGGAAATACTTGCTGGTATTTCAGAATGAATAAAAAGTATATTTTGGGAAAACAAGATATTATCACTATGCATAGTCATAGAATTCTAATCACCAGACAATCTAATTTTCCAAACTAAAATAGTATCTGTGAATAGGGAGATACACTATGAACTCTCTAACAAAACAAACAGATTTAAAGCAATGTTCTCTTGTGTATATCATTATCAACATCCTTACCTCTGCGGTAATGTTTAGATTGGATTATCCTATTTAAGTAGCTATTGCTTTAAATAATAAATCCAATCTGTTCTTTCACAATGAAATTGTGTACTAAGGGTATATGATTATTTCTCCCATTAGAATAAAGCAACAGGACATTTTGAATCACATCCAATTTGGATAAATAAAAGTTAATATAAGAGCTGGAGTATTTCTTAGATTCGATATGTGTTTTGAGAATAATAATTTATTTTAATTTAACAGAAAAGGTCTTTTAGAGATCCTATGCTAATTCAATATACATATTTAAAAGGCAAAATGTTAATGTTGAATTTTGACAGGAAGTTGAAACTTGAGGGTAGGAATAGAATTCTTATTCACACATGTATGATTTGGAGGCACCTTGAAGACTTTCTGCTGTCTTTTTTAAACCTATCACCAAAGAAGAATACATTATTATTTCACCTCAAATCTTTGTTACAGAGACTTAGAAGTGTCACTAATCAAAACACCGTAATCACTTTGAGTAAATATAACTATAGCACTTCTAGCTGCTGGATTCTCTAGCGGTTAAATTGCTTTTATTTGTATAGTTTTCTGATTCTCCTGGTTGATTTCTGCATATTTTAGCATTTTCATTCCTTTTAAGATCGGCATATCTATTTCTCAGGATTGCTATAAAATATACATCCTTTACAATAACTGTGTTTCCGCCTTGTAAATTATTATGTTTATTCTTGCATGTCTCTCAATATATTAATGCTTTGTTATAAGTATATGCAAATTCACTAGTACCTATCGTCACATAGTCAGGGGGAAGGAGCAGGATATGGTAGAAGAGGGCCTTCTTTGATAATCATATGATCTAATCAATGTCCATGCTCTGCAACAACTCATGTAGGTAAGCTCAACAATTAATTTTAACAATTAAGTTCAGTAATTATGAACTCTAGGATTGTAACAGACTATAGTTGATTGTTTACAAAAACAGCCACTATTATTGCCTTTATTATTTCTATCGCCTTTTAATGGTATAACTTTGCAGCTTTTCTATAAAGAGATGTAGTACCATTCCACATTCATTGAAGCTGGACTGGTCTTGTGACTTGTAATTGTGAAAATAATGTCACAGAAATGGCAATGCAGCAGGTCTAAGCCTTGGCATCAAGAAATACTGTAATCTTCTGTTTATTTATTTATTTATTTATTCTAGGAACCCTGAACAGCTACCATGTAAAAGAACCCAGACTCATAGAGGATAACATTTTGACCAGACCCATGGCAACACAGTTGTCTCTGTTAGGAATGTTCTTGACTAGTCACGTCTCAGATGACTCAGTTCATCAAAGATGCAGTACACCCAGGCAAAACCAAAAGAAGACCCATTTAACCCCATCCTAAATTGCCAGCTCAGAGATTTGTCAACTAAATACATGGTTATTTGTTATTATAATACACTCACATCTGGCATGGCTTGTTACAAAGCAAAAGTTAACTGAAACACAGATATTAATATGTTTAAGTTGAGTAAAATAACATGTTCTGGTCTATTCTTTTAAAATAAATGAAAAGAAAACATATCTAAGGTTCTTTCTAGTTCTGAGGTAACATTCTATATTACTTTTTCTTCTAAATGAATATAGCTTTAATTTTTTGCCATATCAAACTCTAAACACGAGCGAAAATATGTATTTTTATTTTAATTTTTTAAAGTCTTTACTATAATGAAAATAAGAATAATTATTCACTGTTTATTGGTGATTAAAATATTTAATTATATTCTTTTATAAAAATATACTACATTATCATATAATTAAATATTATAAAATTACATTATATAAAGCTGTCATATTTGATAATTTATAAATGTAATAATTTTATTTTCCATTTAAAACTGGCATTTGATACATTTTTAAGGATTAAACTTTCCCTGTCTAAGTCATAGAGGTTACCTTCAAAACTTTATCACTTAGTCATTCAAATGACATACAAATTGTGCATTTTGAAAATTGCTCCACCTCTAAAAAGAAATAAAATGCCAATATATTTATCAATCAAAACTCATAATAATAGAACACTTTACCTGCACAGGAGTTTATGAGTGGCAGCAGAATTACCAGTTTCCTTAGCAACTTCATTTCCACTTTCTAAGGTCAAAAATTTCTCCCATACAATCAGAGGAAAAAAAAAAATCTGTCTTCCAGTCAGTATCCCAAGAGTCTGAAAGAGACAAAATTGTCATAAAATGAAAAACATACAAACATGGAATATTTAAATAAGCATATGATTGTTACATATTAATTAAATTTAATATTAAATTTTTGTTATCCAACATAAAGCAACCTAAATGGATACTTTCTACATGTACATATTTTCTGCAAGGTCCAGTAAATTCAGCTTATATTTTTTAAAATTTCAATTCACACCTCAAATATATATGGCATTTGCTATTATATTTTTTGTAGTTGTTAATGGGTTGGAATGGAATTCAAATGATTATATTCCATGTGGACCAAAATTTACATTAGTTTAGGAAAAACATATTAAAACAACCACAAAATTCTGTTGTTGGCTTGTGTTTTAAAATTTTTATTCACTAGGAATGGGATATGATACTTCTGTATCATATATATACATTAACATCAATTTTCTGCATTTTACCAATATTATTGAGAATACACTCATTAGATAACATTATTTGTCCTAATATCACAAGAAATAAAATTAATATTGTGCTACAAAATTTCTGCAAGAAATCTATTTCTAGCAGTGTTATCTTTCAGGTATGAGACATGCTTTTCCTAAGGGGTTGCATCATAATTTCCTCTAATTTATTTTGACATTTAAGCTATGTAGTGATAAATGAAATCAAGATAAAGTGTTAGCTTGGCCTTTAGCCCAAAAGAGAAATCTAATAAGAGGTTCATAAAAACTTCTAAACTCATAAAAATTTAGCATAAGCTCAGAACAAATGCATCTAGGTTACATTTGATAAAACTATTATATATCAAGTGATAAGATCCTTTGGAAACTTTAACATAATGAAAACATACTTTCTTGCAATCTTAAACATTTTTTGGGAGAGTGTGGACTTTAAGTGTGATAATAGTAAATAATAAATTTTTTACCAGGTCCTGATGAATTTTTAAATTTTAAAAATCTTTCATTTCTTTCTGTCATGAGTTACTTCATCTTAAACCAAAAATCATTGATTATATTTAACTTTTAAATAAAATTTAAGTAAAATACTTTCCAAATTTAATCAAAGGATAAAAATCACAGGAAAAATAAACAATATTCAGGGGTCAACATACTATATTGAGTCAACATTCTTTCTCAAATGTGTTAGTATCTGACATCGTCTTTCCATTCCTTTTGCCACCACAACATTTAATGCCTTACATAAATTAGATTATATGTTATATCCATTCATTCATTTATTACATTTTCATAAACATTTATTTGTTTGTTTCTTTATATAATCCCATTCTTTGCAAGACAATGGGCAGTAAGGTGTTAGTGGTGAGCCTGAAATCCTTCATTTCTACCTTTGAGGTACTGCTGTCTTGTGAGGGAGATATTTAACAAAAACAGAAAAACAAAAAACACACACAGGTAAATATTTATGTGGTAAATATGATAATATTAAAGAAAATGTGAGATGTATGAGATTTATAGGATGGGGTTCAGGTACTATTTTTTAGCTGAGGCTTGAAATATGAGTAGCTCTCTGCTAGGTGAAGAGTGTGTGTACATGGGGTGAAGAGCAGAGCTGTAGGAATTATAATAGGTATGAAGGAAGGATGAGGCTAGCTTTGTAAGCAAAAGAGGGACAGTGTGCTCAGGTCCTATGGCAAGGCTTGCGTTGTTTTTTCAAAGATCTGAGAAAGCCCGGTTTGATATTCAGGACTGTGGCATGAGACAAGGTTGGAGAAAGAGAAAGAGGCTGAAATATACAAGACATTTAGGTCATGTTAATGTCAATGAATGTTGTACTTTCCGATTATAATTGAGAATTTTAAGCAGAACAGAATCCAGATTTATTTTATATCTTTGGCTACCGTGGAGAATGAAAGAGATGGAGTAAAAAGTGGAATTACACAGAGTAATTAAAGGCTACTTTTGTAGTACAAGAAAGGAATGATGAAGGTTTTAAATAGAGTAGTGGCTTTGAAGATTAAAAAAAAAAAAATAGAATCTCTGAATAGTCTTCCTGCTTTAAATCTCTTGTCCTTTCTACCCATTTAAATGTTATCATCAAAACATTCTTCCTAAAACAAAGATTGCTCCAATTATGACAGTTTATGCAATGGAGAGTTTAATCACTTTCGATTTCACAAACATCCAAAGTCTTTGGAAAGATATTCAAGACTGTACACAATAGGTTTTTAATCTTCCTTTTCCACAAGACTACTACTAAATATTTCCAATCCAGTGACAAAGATCTAATTCCTGTGCACGTGCATTGCGTATTATCTTTATATAGAAGTTATTTAATTTATATAGAATTCCCCCTTAGGGTCTGTATCTCCCTCAAAAATTGTGCAACGGTAGTATGGCCATACATCTCTGCTTTCACTGGACAGTGCCCATGTATCCAATTGTCATGGCAGTATTATCAATAGATTCTTTTTCTCAAAAAAGCATTAGCTTATAACAAAATTATATGGTACATTTATTTAATAGATATTTGTTATTTTTTACCCAATAATTCTGTCGTCTTCTTGTGATAAAAAGTCTGTGACTTTCTTTTGAGGAACCACCCCCCTATATACCATCAGACAATACAATTGAAGTGTTATTGCGCCTACCTCCTAGCTCCAGGATGAGCATATGACCAGGTCATTGTTAATCAGTAATCTATTTATTTGGATACAATATTTTGTAAAGCATTGAGCATATGGCCTAATTGAAACCAATGGCAGTCGAAGCCAGGACTTTTGTCAATATTATTAGAAAAAGTGTACAATCTCTCCGTTAAGTTATCAAGAGATAATAAACCTGATGAGCTGGTATATCTCACAAATGTTATCTTTACAGTTTGCAGCCACAGCTAAAAACTTTCAGTTCCCCTTCATGCACAGTTTTCTAAGGATCCACCCCAAATATATCCCTTATTAGGCTTTAGTATTCCTGAGTTATAATACACACAGTATTAGGCTTTAGTAATCCTGGGTTATAATACACATAGACCCAAATACAACAGATCCCCAAATCTCTAACACTGAGAAACAGCTGCTATGCTTCCTTGGGCTAGAAAATTATTTAAAATACCCAATCCTCTTGAGGCCTGTAAAATCTAGCTATCTATATCCCATTTTCCATTCGCAAGCTACGTCCAATAGTCACAGCTTCCCGTAGTTCTATTCCTGGGTACATTCTCCTGCATGGCCGTTCCCTCATTTGGAGGTAAGAAGCAGAGTTCTGCTTTTTCTATATCTGAGTGTTATTGTGAGTTGTTCTATCATCCAAAGAATCTATAGTCATACCCAGTATCATAGAATCATAAAACATCTTACCTAAACCCCTGGAATTCTAAGATACATGAGCCAATAAGACAAATTTTTGCCTAGTCCTGTTTCTGTTTTGTTTTTATCTCCTTCTACCTAAGTAATCTGACAAGTCCCTTCTTTCTTTCTTTCTTTTTTTTTTTTTTTTTTTAGATGGAGTTTCACTCCTGTTGCCCAGGCTGGAGGGCAATTGCATGATCTTGGCTTCCTGCAGCCTCCGCCTCCTGGGTTCAGGTGATTCTCCTGCCTCAGGCTCTCGGTAGCTGGGATTACAGGCACACGCCACTACCATCAGCTAATTTTGTATTTTTAATGGAGATGGGATTTCACCATGTTGACTAGACAGGTCTTGAACTCCTGACCTCCAGTGATCTGTCCATCTTGGCCTCCCAAAATACTTGGATTATAGACATGAGCCACCATGCCCAGCCCCCTTCATTATTTATCCTGAATTTATATGAAGTTTCCCTTAAAGATTCTAGGGCAGACTGACACAATATATTTCTCTTAAGGTTTGTACTTATCAAACACTCCATTATATTGCCAAGGTTTTTGTACTTTACCTTGATGACAAACACCATGTATAATACTTACTTATAATACTTGGTGTGGTGTCTACTGCAGAGCTCATAGCTATTCAGTAAGCATGAGCTAGGTTTATATTTGACAGCTGAACAACCTAGTATTATAGAGAAAAATGCTACACTGGGAATCTAGGGATTTTGCTTGTACTATTGTCTATTTCTCTTCACCAGCTGAGTAACATTGAGTGATTCATGTACAATCACATTGATTGTCAGTTTCCTCTTTTGAAAATTGAAGGGTTTGACCTAGAAGTCACCTTCAAGTTTCTTCCAGCTATAATATTCTAAGATGGTTTGATTCCATCCAGTGTATAATTTCCTAGCAAATGTTGCCCTTTATCATCTGATTGCTTATCAGCATACTTTAATGAGGGCAAAGCCCGAAAATATATTTTATTTGGCATTCCTCTATAATGCAAGCCTAAATAGCTAATACTTATGCATCGGTTGCCATTTGTAAAAGTTTCATTTGTATAAGTTTAAATTGCTTGAGGAAGAAGAATACTCTGGCTCAATGACAGCAATGCAGATAAGAAAAGTATAGTTATTTACTCATAGCAGAATAGAGTAGAAATATTCAGTGAGTAAAATTTAGGCTAGTCACTTTCATGCAAAATAGCCACAGGAATTAATTCTAGGTTCCTGGAATCCTACAGGTCACCTGAGGCAAAATGGACTAATAAAGGAAAACCAGTATATAAATCTAACTTAAAGAAACTTCTAGAACCTAAAAAAAGATTCTAAAAAATGTGTCACCAGCATTTTGTTTTAGATGAGGTATTTTAAACAATAATTTGGCCCAGAGTAGTGAGTATCTTGGTTCATAACCTAACTTCTGAGGTTATAATGTTCTGTTATTAATGGATAAAACTTGTCCTCCCAGACCATGTGTGTTCACTTTTGCTTGTATAAAATTGCTCACTGCAAAAGTAACAATTTCAAACACTTCAAGAAAAGAGTATGTACAGGTCCATAATCATTTTTCTTGCAATTAAAAAGAAATCTTTGCACGTTTAAAATTACATATAAGCTTGCTGGCAAAATTTATTTGGTGGCAGAGAACTGTCCCAAAGCAATGTGTGGTTGCTTAGATCTTTTCATCGAACTTATAAATATTGATGCATTT